GGCAGGAAGGCAGAGGCTTAAGTAAGGCAGAAAGAGTAACAGTAAAGGGGCGGTGCTTTCCGAGGCTCTGGCTTTCCAGCCAGAGGATTTCCATATAAGGAAACCCTCAGAGGCTTTCAAGGGCTACATAGTTATAATGGGTAAATAGAAACTTACAAGCTCTTTCGCGGGCTTTTGCAAATGCGTGGGCTTGGTAAGCAGCTGCTGGGCCTCATGGCTCCGGACACCCTACAAATGTGAAGAGTGTGGCAAAGCCTTTAGTTGGTGCTCAGTCTTTACTGCACATAAGAGAATTCATACTGGAGAGAAACCCTACAAATGCGAAGCATGTGGCAAAGATTTTATCTGGTGCTCAGACCTTGCTAAACATAAGAGAATTCATACTGGAGAGAAACCCTACAAATGTGAAGAATGTGGCAAAGCTTATAAATGGTGCTCAGAACTTACTAAACATAAGAGGATTCATACTGGAGAGAAACAGTACAAATGTGAAGTATGTGACAAAGCTTTTAGCTGGTGCTCAGGCCTTACTGTACATAAAAGAATTCATACTGGAAAGAAACCCTACAAATGTGAAGAATGTGGCAAAGTCTTTAACCAGTACTCACACCTCCATAGACATAAGAGAATTCATATAAGAGAAACCCTACAAATGTGAAGAATTTGGCAAAATCTCTACCTAATGCTCTTACCTTACTATATATGAGAGAATTCATACCTAAGCAAAACTTAAGTTTTCTATACATAGGTTATAAAGTCTGAAAATGGACAATTTAACTTGTTTGTTTTCATTATGGATGCCTTTTTATTTCATTCTGTAATGGCTCTGGCTTGGACATCCAGTACTATGTTGAATAGAAGTAGCAAGAGTGGTCATCCTTGACTTGTTCAAGGTCTCAGTGGAAAAGCTGACAACGATTCCCCATTTACTATGTTGTTAGCTGTGGGTTTGTCCTACGTGGTCTTTGTTGCATTGAGGTGCATTTGTTCTGTGTCATATTTGATGAGAGTTTTTATCATGAGGGGATGTTCAATTTTGCCCGATCCTTTTTCTGCATGTATTAAATGTCCTGGGTTGTGTCATTCTTGTAAGAATCTGTGTAGATGCATCCATACTTTGAGGAGGCCCTGAGGAAATCACATCTCACATTCTGTGGACATGACCTTTTTATGTCTACAGTGAGCATCTAACTCCCCAAATATAATTGAGGTGCAGGGATTTTTGTCTTTTGTTTATTAAATTATTCCAAAGATCTAGACAAGTGACTACACAAATTAAGTGCTTAACATATGTGTGTTAAATGAATGGACCCCAATCAGAGCCTTCCCAGATATTTACGTGGGCCTGGGTCCTCTCTTCCAGCAGCCAGGGACCCCCATTCTGCCTGTGTCAAGGACATACACAAGCTAGAAGGAATCTGAAATGTACTTTACAAAAGCGAAAATAGGTTTGCTTACTTACTGTTTTTTCCAAACATAGAGGGACATGGACCTTTGAAGCATGAAGCAGAGTTTCTTCAGCTAAGGGAGAGAGAAAAATAATAAAAATGAACAATGAGAGCAGGCCCAGCAGCCTTTCTGTAGGAACCCACCTGCCATGTCTCATACCGTTTAGTCCCTACAAGAATGCTTTGAGGTTTATCTTCTGACCACCCCATTTTTGGAGGCACAAAGTAAGGTTCAGCGGGTTGCAGTGACAACCCCAAGACACATACAGCATGTGGCCCATTCACCACTGTACTTTGGAGGGGACAGATGCTTACCTGATGAACAGCTGCTCCAGGGACTGTGGGATGATGGTGAGGTCACAGTAGGCACCCAGGAACGTGGTGGAGGAGGGCATGGTCCATTCCTAGAAATCTGGATCTGGGGACTGCTAGATTTCCCTTCTTCCCTGGATGATGGGTCCACATTGTACAGGCCTCTTCTGCTTTCAGGGAGACTCATTTTCATGCTGGGGAACAAGGAGGAACATATAGTCGGTGACAGTGACACAGTCCAGCTTTTTAAGAACTCATGCATGTGGAGGACATGGGTGTCCATGGTAAAAAGTGAAATTTCATGTAGGGTGGAGAATAATTAACCTATTATTACCTTCAACATATCTTCACGGTATTTTGTCAGTTGTGGTCCAAAACCACCTACCTGTATCAAGTCTGTATAAAGAGCGTTATTCCCATGAGTCCTCAAAAACACATCCTTATTATAAAGATGAGAAAGCACAGGCTCTGGAATGTGAAATGTCCGCTCACCAGCACGTGAGTCAGAACTGAGAAACTTCCACAGCGAGAGCTGTGTGTAATTCTCCCTGAGTTTCCTGAGGCTCTCTCTGCTCTTGAGATGGAGAGGAAGGGCCTGAGGAAGCGTCATTTTCTTTGTGTTTTATATACAATGCACAAGGCAAGACATTCTAGAGGAACCCTTTTGACCTAACGCAACATATGTATTTCTTTTGTTTACATTAAATGAAGTGTTGAGAAACTGAGCTGCAGCAATCCCAAGTCTGGCAAAGGGCCCATCAATGCTAGGAGACTCTGGCATGGGAGAAAACCCCACAGGGCCAAGGGTCTGAGCAGATGACTCAGGAAAGAGAAAACCCAAATAGATATTAAACACCTGAGAGGTGATTCTGACATATCAGTTGAGAAATCGGGATGAAAGAAACAATGAAGCAGCATGATTTTATTTGACATAGGGACATCAGATTGGCAAAAAATTAATCGTTAACATCCAGGAGAGGCTGGATGCAGGGAAGCAGCTACATTGAGAAACTACGGGTGACAATGTACCAGCCACTGCACTTTGAAAAATAATCTGGCTGTAGCTGTTAAAATTGTACGTATTCATATACTTTCTCTCAGTAATCTCTTTCTTGGGAGTCTGTCTTCCGTAGGGGATTAGTATATTTTATGGGATAAATTTTGTCCCCTCTCCAAATTCATATAATAATGTTCTAACACCCAGTGCCTGCGAACGTGGTTGTATTTGGACATATATTCCAGAAAGAGGTAGTCAAGGTCGAGTGAGTTCATTGAGCTAGGCCCCCATCTAGAGGGACTGGACTTGTAAGTAGAGGCAGTAAGGACACAGAAGCGCAAAAGACGACCATTGGAACATCAAGATAGGAGATGGACATCTGCAAGCTAAGGGGTGAGGCCTCAGAGGAAACACGCCAGAAAAAGAGCTTGATGTGATTTCTAGCCTACCGAATTGTGACAGTCTAAATTTCTGTTGACAAAACCGTTCTGTCTGTGTTGTGTGTTATGACAGCCTAGCAAACTGTCACACCTATCAGGACACACACAGGATGCTCCCTGCAGCACAGCTCACGTGGAAACAATTTTACCGTGTCAGGCTCCGCCAGATTTGAATTGCTGAAACTTGGTGGGAAATGTCCTCCCTCATGGAATACAATGAAGACATATGAGGGGACAGCTCCTGCCCTGGTGGGGCTACGGGAACGAGTTCTGTGCAAGGACACATTGCAGACAAATGTATAGAGTAGTTTAACCCCTTTTTGTGTAACCTCCACCTTTTGTGTAAGAAGCGCCCTAGTAAGTGCTGGCGTTTAGGCCTCAGCAGGTCTGCAGGGCAGTGCTGCTGCCTGCTACAGGGGTGCCTGGGCTGGGAGCTGGACACGGCAGCGGCAGCAACATGCAGACATACTCATAGTCTAGTGTAAGGTCAACACAACACAAAAGTGTTTCCTTTGATGTTCCTACAAGTATGTGGAAGAAACCGCACTTAACCAAGTTGCCACTGGGGACTGATGGAGGCCAGATTCCCTTGGGGGAGGGGGCTGCCAGTCACTCAAGTGAGAAAGCCCTAGGGTAGAGCCCAGGGAGTCTTGATATTCAGGTTCAGGACCTTAACACATCCTGGTCGTCTTCAGTCCCTATCTGTAGAGACCCCTCTGTGCCAGCTGACACCCTGTTTATCACAGCCATGGCGGGTGGCCTGGTGCACTTGCACTTCACCCAAGGAGATGAAGGAGTTGGACCTATGAGACAGCTCCTCACTGATCTCCTGTGTGAAGCTCTGCAAAGAGAGTGCATGGCAGCCGGGCCAAGAGGCACCAAAGGCCTATGTGGGTAGCTCCCGAGGGGAACACCCCCGTGGGAAATTCCGTTCCCCAGATCAGACACAGGAGATCTGCATAGACATCCAGCCAGGAAGGAAACCAGATGATAGCCTGAAGCCTTGGGACTGACATCTGAGCGTCTGCTTGGTCCCTAACACTCACTCTCCTTCCTGGGATATCAACCTGCCAGAACCTCCCTCTGATCTCAAGCAATCAGAATGCTGCATTTATAACCTATAGATGGCCTTCAAACTCTGTAGTTAAAAATAATTTTTGCCAAGTTAAAAATTTCTAAACTTCTCATCAGAACTTTTAAAGTGTTGTGTGCAATGGCACGAGGTTGGTAGAACAGCGAGAAAGTTGTAGCATAGCACAGGCAAAAAGAATGGTTGTGATATGTTTGTGGCTGGGAATGAAGACAAAGAGCAAAATATTAGACATAATTGCGAAGTGAAATAAACAGAATTTCTCTTTATAAATTCGGAGAGTTTGTTGTCATACGTGTGTCCCCTCTCCACGTGCAGAATCAGGGCCATTTCTTCACCTGGGTATTTTCAGTCTCTTACCTGGAGCCACAAACTCACTGCCCCAGGAATATTTACTGCTAAATATAAAGCATCTATTACATGCCAAGTACTGTCCTATACTTGCTGCCTCTACTAAAATTTCAAAACAACTTCATGATTTTTGAAGACTTCCCAGCATGTACCTGAACAAATTGGCCCACTAAACTCAATTATGTCAATGATAAAAAGTGAAAGAATAACCAAAGAAAAAGTGGCTTAAATAGGGCTCCCCCATTTATAAGGCAAATACAGAATGTACAAGTAAATAAAATGTATATTAATACACTGTGGACTTACATCTTCAGATTATTTTATGAGCACCATTGAATTTTATAAAAATCAATATTATGATTCCTGAACTTGTCATATAAATACTTCACGAACTTTGAAATAAGAAAATTGTATAGTAGGTCTTGCATGAGTAACAAGCAAGTGAAAACAGTATTTGCAAGGGGAGATTCTGAACGAGAAGCCTGAAGATTTTACAGAAATTAATTCAAACTAAAGCAAAAAACCATAGATTTTCTTTCAGAATCTTTGAGATTTCTATCTAGTTTGCTAGGAAATTATCACCACTTTTGAAATTATCTTTTTCCCCAATATTTTTTGTTTTCTTTTCAAAATAGGTATACATCCACTTTCACACAAGCATAATTACTTACTCTGTGATTCTATTAAACTTAAGGTTCATCTTCAGAGTGATATATTTATATATTTAATTCCACATAAATAAAAAATTTGTGTTTCCTAATCCATAGAGGTTGCAAGTTGAAAGAAAAATGTAGGATAAAATGGTATAAATAGTCATTCAGTGTTCATAAATGTATGGCTTTTTATTATATTGCAAATCTTCATTATAACCATTATAGTAACAATATAATTGCAAACATAAGAGAAAATACAACCTGTGGAAACCTTATTACTCAAGTTATTTGAGATTTAAAGCCACTGGGAAAATGGATCAAAAGAGATGTCATTTTACTGTGTAACCCAGTACGGCGTTGTTACCAT